CCCGCTGGGGGGGGGGGGGGGGGTCACCGTGTGTCACTGTGCCGTGGTGCCACGCCACCAACCGTGCTCTGGCTGCATGCCGCGGCATGCCACCCTTTGCCAACCCCGCCATCATCGAGCGCGCCCACCCAGAGGCACGTGGTGCAGCATGCAGCGGCGTGGCTGCCAGCAGTGCCGCGCCCGCCCACCTGCAGGCGCAGCTTGCACAGCTGGGAGCCCCGCTTGGTGAAGGGGCGGCCCAGCGCCAGCGCAGCCCGGCCCAGGCCTCCCAGCCGCTGCTGCTCATCGTCGTGCTGCTGCTCTGCTGCAGGGAGGGAGGGAGGGAGGGGTGGGCTACTAGCAGCATGTCGATCCCTTCCTTCCCCAGACCGGACCAGCCTTCACAACCTTCACAACCTCACAGCCTTGTTAGCCTGCATAAGCCTCACAGCCTATGCCAGCAGCGGCACCAGCGCCCACCTGGCGACCTGACGACCAGCTCCACCTCCCGCGGCCGCCCGGGCGGCAGGCTGCGCAGCGGCACCACCGCCCGCCCCACCTCCTCGTTCGGCACCCAGTCTCGGTAGTGGTACAGCACCAGGCACAGCTCCTGGTGCTCTGCGACACGGTACCGGCGGAAGTTTGTCAGCTTAACAAAGCAGCATGGCGAGGTTTGGCCTCAGCCAGTCAAAGGGGTCCGGCCTGGCCTGAGGGAAGGTGCAGGCTGGCATGAGCGCACTGAGGCAGTGCATGCAGAAGCCTGGCCTGGGGCCAAACGCGAGGTCCCAGGGCGGGCAGCAGCCACCACGTGCGCCCGCCAGCCCAGGCCCTGCGCAGCGGCTGCCCCGCCCGCCGCCGCCCTTACCCGGCACGCTGACTGGGAACTCGAAGCGCGGCTTGCCCCAGGTGGGGCTGCTCCCAACGGGCGCCACGCACGTCTGCCGGCGCTGGCTGTCCCGTACAAACAGCTCCAGCATGGGGCGCGCGCTGGCCAGCAGCCCCGGCTTGGGCACCTGCGCCGCGGCATGGCACGCGCAGCAGGTTGCCTCAGGCTCTCCGAGGGGGCACGTGCAAGCTTAGGCGCCGCGTGCGAGCTGGCCGGCAGGTGCAATGAAGCAGCAGCACAACGCATGCAAGCGCGCCCTGCGCGGGCAGCCCCACTTGCGCCGCGGCCGGGGCGCGCCGCCACTCACATTCTCTGCTCCCAGCACCCGCACCGCCAGCACTCCAGCGGGGCGCTCCACATCTCGCACCCCGGGGTCGATGGGCAGGAAGTAGTGCTCGGGAAGCACCCAGGGCTGCAGACAGGCAGGCGGGCAGGCGGGCAGGCAGGCGGGGAAGCATAGGCACTTAGGCGTGGAGTGGGTGCAGGTAGAGTGAGTAGCCTGCAGGTGAGGTGAGCAGGTCAACCGCGGCCAGACTCTGCCTCGGAGGCAAGGGAGGGGCCCCGCAAGCACAACCCTGCGGCGACTGCACGCTGCCGCGCCGCCGCCCTCGCCCCCTCTCGCCTGCAGCACCAGGTCGCGCACCGCGCCGTCCAGCCACTGGCGGATCAGCGGCACCAGCGCTGCCGAGGCCACGGACAGCTGGAGGTCGTAGCCGAACTCAGGGACGCGCGTGAGGCCTGCCTGCGGCGTGGCGGGCCCAGGAATGGCAGCAGGATTGGAGGGAGGAAAGGCGGTACAAATGGAAGCAGAAATGGAGGGATGAATGGAGGCAGGAATGGAGGGATGGAGAAAGGGATGCGCCCCAGGGGGATGACTGGCGGAGCTCTCGGAGGCTGGATGCAGGCGAGACCGGGATGGTGGTACGGCTAGCGGTATGGCTGCTGGATGCGGGGCCACCACGCGGGATCTCCTGCCTCGCCCCGCAGCCTGAGGCGCCGAGAGAGGGAGGGGAGCCTCCCCTGAGGGCGAAGGGCAGGCGGGCAGCCAGAGAGGCGCACCGCAGCGGGAAGCCGGCACCCACCTGCAGCGCCCCCACCACGGGCAGGCGGCGCAGCAGGGGTCGCAGCGCCAGCCGCACCCCCGCCCTGATCCACGCCTGCTTGAGACGCACGCGCAGGCGCATCACCAGGCGCATCGCATCCTCCAGGCAGTCTGGGGTCACCTCTGCCACCGCCACCGGCAGCCGGGGCACAAGAATGTGAAGCTCCACATCCTGCGGGCGCAGGGATGCTGACGATGTGGGCTATGGGAGGCAGCAGGAGGGCAGGCAGGCAGGCAGGCAGCAGGCAGGCGCGCGCGCCTCCTGGCTGCCACCGCCCGCCAGACCTGCTGCGAGCGCCACTCGGCCTCGAATTCCAGAAACATCTCCTCCAGCCCGCCGCCGCCCGGGCCCCTGCCACGCAGGCGCCGCCGCCGGCAGTCGGTGTGGGGCAGGCGCGGGGGTGCAGCGTATGCAGGCAGGCAGCCGGAGCAGGGCCAGGCACAGGCGTGGCGAGGCCGACAGCAGCAGGCACCAGGCATGGCGAGCGCAGCTGCGGCAGCAGGCGCAGCAGCAGGCCCAGCAGCAGGCGCAGCGCAGGCACAGCGCACCTGTGCACACGGATGTCCCGGATCTCTGGCCGCGCATCCCCCAGGCTGAACCGCTCCAGGCGCAGCTCGTACACAAAGGGCGGGCGGCTGGCTTCCAGCTGCTCGGGGATGACCTGGCAGGCGAGCCGCTCGGCGGCCTCCCGCGCGTACGGCCACAGCCCCTCAAGCAGCTGCCGCACCCAGTCCTGCCGCTCGCGGCCGCCGCCCTTCTCCACCCCTGTGACCTCGTCGCGGCGTGCCGGCGTGACCGGGGCCGGCACCTGCCCGGGCGCCGCCTGCTGGAGCGGCTGCGCCTTGGGCCGCCGCCCCGGCGCCGGATCGACAGTCACGCGCTGAGCCACCTTGGACGCCGCAACCGCCGCCCCCACTGAATCCTGCGCAGTCAAGCTGCACAAGAGAAGCTGTGAAATCAGAAAAGCCGCGCCAGATGTGTGGCTCCTGTCACGACACGGCCAGAATGGCACAGGCCTGCCACCATTAGAAGTTTCAACTCTCAGCCGGACGCAGAGCGACCCGCCGATCGATCGGCCATCTTGGATGTCCTCGTTGGCAATGGCGACCTCCGACCCGCCACGCACAGCACCCGTCGCACGGGTTGACCTGCTTTCTTTTCGGGACGGCGAATTGAACCGCCCTTGCACGCTCTGGCTGCTTTAATACGTCTCGAAACCGGCGGGACGCCTTGGAAAGCCAGTTCTGACCTCGCATCCCAGGCATGCCGAGTACGGAGCCCGCACCGGCGGCCGCGCTGAAGGCGGCCATTGAGAGGGCGGACGACGAGGCGTGCTTCCACCTGCTGACGGAGCTGGCCGGCGCCTCCGGCCACCTGCCGGGCCTGCTGCCCGCCACGTTCGAGGAGCTGGCGGCCAAGGGGCTGCCGCGCGCCGCCGTGAAGCTGGCGCAGCTGGAGTGCGGCAGTGCGGACCTGCGGGAGGCATGCGACGCCACCCCGCAGGGCGGATCCTACTTGCACGCGGCCGCGGCGGCCGGCGCCGGCGCGCCGGTGGTGGCCGCGCTGCTTGCCGCCGGCTGCGCCGTGGACGGGCGGTGCGCCGAGGGCGGCACTGCGCTGCACGCCGCCGCGCGGGCGGGGCACCTGGCCACCTGCACGGCCCTGGTGGAGGCTGGGTGCGACCCGCTGGCGCGCAACAGCAACGGGCGCACGGCCAGGGCGCAGGGCGGCGTGGGGGAGGCGGCGCGTGCGCTGCTGCAGGAGGCGGAGGAGGCGGGGCGGGAGCGCTGGCGGGCGCAGCAGGGGGCGCTATGGGACGGCAAGATGTCGGCATGCCAGACTGCCAACGCCTGCCGCCTGGGCTGCCTCTAGCCCCGGCTCCACCGCTGCGGCGACAGCTCACAGGCTTGCCACTTTGCATGCGTCTTTTTGAGCTGATCAAACCGCCATGCAACCGCTGAGGTCGGCGAGGTTGAGCCAGCTGCAGCTGGAGGGCGCGGGCAGGCAAGAGGCGGGCAGAGATGGCGGCAGCCGGGAGCAGCCCGCTGCAAGCTGGCGCCGGCTGGATCGATGCGCCGCCCTGCGGCCCTTGTGCTGCACTTGCAGGCAGCACCACAGCCCTCGTTCAGGCCCTAGGCCCCATCTCTGTGCATGTCTCTCANG